AAATAAGTTTCCTAATCTTCTCAAAACTCTGGATTCTGATAGAGGGCCATGAGACTTAGACTTGAGTGCAAAAATGGAGGCTCTAGACCATTCCAGAGTAAGTGTGTAAGTGTGTGTGTGTCAGTGAAAGAGTTCATGAGTGTTTTTGCGTGTGTGTGTGTGTGTGTGTGTGTGTGTGTGTTTGTGTGTATCAGTGAGTGAGTGTGTGAGTGTTGAACAAGATTTCTCTGGAAACACTGAAGCTCACAATCCAAATCAGGCCTAAAGAGTTTCAGTCTCCCGCCATCAACCACCAAAATATGAAACCCGTGGCCATCAGCGTGAGTGTACAAGAGCTCAGATTAAAAAAGAGGGCTTGAGGAAACGCTCAGCCCACTGCATTACTTGTCCTGAGAATTGCAAGGCTATTTCAGTAAAGGGTGTGTGTGTGTGGGGGGGGGGGACTGCAATTACACCTAGTTTTGCTCCTCATCCTCTCTGTCTTCCTTCTTCCAATCATCATCTGTTTTCTGAACTGCTGGAGGGAGCTGGTTGTGTTTTATATTAGACTTTGATGTATTTCTCAGACTCGCGCTGCTCGGTAATAAAGATCTCTCTGGCTATGTTTAGAACAGCAAACTATCACGTAAAGCCGCTTCTTCTTCTCACACACACATTAACAGGTTACAGTATTCACACTATCTGTGCTGGGACTATTTCAGGCGATCGTTGCAAGTGACAAGACACACAAAACATTCTTTCATTCATTCAATCTGACTTCATGCAGAGGGTTAACTAGTTTATAACTTCAGTTTGGGGTTTGGTTTCAATCCACACAGATTAATCAGTGTTTTGTGTTTGAATGTTAATGTGATCAAGCTCCTCGTGTAAATCTAATTTCAAGTTTGCAATGGTATATGAATGTATAGCTTTTATCAAAGTCAGCATAATGTAAACTATATATGCACTGCAGTATATGAACATTACGGTTAAACACTGTGTGCCGCAATGCAAACGAATGGAACGTCAAGAGGAGTCTAAACTAAAGGATGAAATCACGAGTTTTTTATGGTTCAATCATTGATCTTTCTATAGGTTTTCACAATAGATCTCCATTCGCCCTGCCTTCAGCTTTAAGCTATGACCTTTCCATGCTCTTCCAAAGAGTATCTTCAATCTATAACCTGAATGATTTACAGTGTGTGTGTGTGTGTGTCATGAGGCCTCGTCTCTTCTTGAACTTCTAGTACAACTCAGTGAAAGTCCGTCCGTCCGCCTTTCTGTCTGTCGTTCCTTCTGCATGCTTTTATCATAGTCTGTGAAAATATTCTGAAGGAAAATATATACATATATCTAAAAAGTTAGAATCGCCCATGGCCTCACCCACTTCAGAAGCGGCGGTGTGTGTCTGCGGCAGGAGAGAAAAACAAAACCTCAGAAATATGGCAATACCGTGTTTTCTTTAGGGAATGCGTTCATTTTCATTTTGCAGGATGAGTGAAGTTTGTATTGCATCGTTGAATTTAAACGGTGTAAAACATAATTAGACAGAGAAGAATGAGAATGAGAATTAAAGGGATAGTTCAATTTGAAATTAATTTTTGATATGTTTTATCTTCCCTCAAGGGCCTCCAAGATGTAGGTGTCTTTGTTTCCACAGTATTTTCAGTTTTGATATTTTTCAGTCAAACCGTTGTTGTCTATCAGTCATACACTGGAGGCTAAGGGGGTCCACCAAAGAGAAGTCCAAATTAAACATGATTTAATGACTCGTAAATGTAAGTACACACTGATGGCCTAAGACACGAAACGAGCGGTTTGTGGGAGAAAACCAACAGTATTTATATCGTTTTTACCTCGTGTAATCACAGCCATGACACAATGATCTGACGGCACGGACGCTTCGGTCTGGAAGTGATCAACGTCACTCTTTGTTTATACAGAGATTTCGTAAGTTTTACCTTTCACTAAACATATTTAGATATACGGGAAACCGCAATGGAAGACGATTTCGGGATATCTAAATATGTTTAGTAAAAGGTAAAACTTCCGAAATCTCCGTGTAAATATTGAGTGACGTCACACGCAAGCGATCACTTCCGGCGTAACATTGAACTGATTCAGTTCGGTTCAGTTGGACATTAAACAACTGATTCAGATCACTGTGATTACACGAGGTAAAACGATATAAATACTGTTGGTTTTCTCACACAAACCGCTCGTTTCGTGTCTTAGGCCATCAATGTGTTCTTACATTTACGAGTCATTAAATCATGTTTCATTTGGACTTCTCTTTGGTGGACCCCCTTAGCCTCCAGTGTATGACTGATAGACAACAACGGTTTGAGGTAAGCTAAAACATATCAAAAATAATTTCAAAGTGGACTTTCCCTTTAAGGCTAATGCTTTACCGTCACCATTGGTTTTGAAGATTAAGCATTTAAAACTTTAAAAGCAACGATGCTGAGACTTTGGTAAAGTTAGTTGAGTCAACTGGACACATATGAAGGGTTTCTCTGAAGAGAGCTCGTCGTCTGTCATCGAGTCACAGTCATCAATTAAAAATGCAGCATTTGGGGAAAAGCGTGGACATGAACTGATGGATCTGCTTCTGGGCTGATAACAGCTCTCAGTGATGTGTGTCAGCTCTCTGACATTCACAAGTGTTCCTAGAACAAGGGAACCCAAAGTGCCTGTGGCGTCCTCCATTTCACTTCTGATAAGTGATAGAAGGACTAGGGCCTACTCCAGACACAGCGGTTTATCTCATCCGCTCCCGATTATTCCTCAATCTAAGACTGTGATATATGGGCCAAACGCAGATACAGTAAAGTCAGCACTTCTAAAGTCCACATGAAATCAGAATTCATCCGTTTCATCCGTTCTCAAAATTCATTCTCATTTTTTAAAACTTTGTATTATTTTATCCCTCATACATTTTTTTTGTCTTAAACTAGATATTTTTTCTAAAAAACAAAAAAGAATACAAGCATATTTAAAACGTTTAATGAACATATTATCCAAAAATATGTTGCCACCTAATTACATTTAAGAGTTTACAACAAAAAAAAACCCCAGCAAATTTGTTCAGGTTTTGTTGTGCGAACATAAAATCATGTCATGCTGCCAAAGAGAAATAAGGAAATAACCATATTTTAATTTGGTGGAGAAAATTGGTTGAATAAATTAAATAAACTCCATGGTTGGATGATCTTAGATTAAAAGAAAACAGCACTTGAATTAATGTCCATTGTCTTAATCAGCAGAACTAATTCCTAAAATCAAACTGCTATTTGGTCCGTTTCCCGTCTGCTTTCCAATAAGATCACAGTCACACCACTCAATGAAAATGCCTAAATACTGAATATTTGCTTTTGACACTGTAACTATGAATCTAATTGGACCTGCATGACATGTGGAGACCCTCAGGGCTCGATCCTGGGACATCTCCCTGTTTCAAAAAAAATATTGGTTTCAGTGGTCATTTCAAATCAACAACTAAATCAGCTTATTATCATCATCTAAAACTTTTTAAAGACTAAAAAAAATCACAAATTCATTACCAGCAGGACTGACGGTTCAACAAATGCTACTCATCACCAGCTTTCCCAAAAACACTGCGGCTCATTCAAAGGGCTGGATGCATTGATGAATACAACATCTTATTAGAAATGTTACTATATTGATAATATATATATAGAGAGAGAGAGTGAAAATTGAATTACGTCTATCCCCTGAATACAGATGTATGTGATGTTCTTCCTACATCTCTTGACCTCTCTTGCAGGTCAAGAATATCCAGTCATTAAGAAGCAGATCCACAGTTCTCAGAGAAACAGCAGAGAAGGATGATGTTATGAAACACGGCAACCCCTCAGGCCTTTTGCAACGGTTCATGATGCAATTTCCCAAAATAGCCCGGTGCAAACAAACACAGATCTGGAAACAAAGAGTCGGGCAGCCTTGGGCACACTGGACATCACAGGGGGCAGTGGGTCAGAGAACGCGCTCGCAAAACTAAACTGAACCGAGCAGGACTCAGAACATCACGTCCAAACTCAACGCACATGATGGACACGTCTACTTCTGCTTTGATCCAAACCATTCTTGAACATGAGCTAATCTCCCCAGACATCGTCCTGGCATGTTCTCCGATTAAAAAACGAGATGCCAATTTCTCACACGACAGACAGATTAGCTTACTCTTTACTTTGTAATTAAGTCGTGAGAGCGGCGGTTAAAAATAGTGTGACTCGTCGATGTCAGTCTGTGTTGGGGAAAGCCGAATATGACGTTTCATTTCCTCGTCGGCTTTTCTTCCCATTCTCTTTCTTTCCTGCAACCTAAACGCTCGCACCTGTTTAATGACTGGAAGTGATTGGAAGTGTCCCTTTTCCACCAAAGCATTTTGAGAGCCGGTTCGGAGCCGGTGCATGCGCGCGAACCAGTTCTTTGTGTTTCGACAGCCAAAGAACCGGTTCGCGGCCGGGAAAACTGGTTCCAAAGCGGCACCAACTCTTTGCTGGACTAGAACCGTTCTTTTATCACGTCATGTTTACGTCGGGGGCTAGGCCGGGTTTAGATGTGTCCTAAACATCTTTTCTGACCATCGCAAAGCCAGGAGAAACTGCAGAAACACGCAAGCGTTTTTATTTATTTTTTATTTTTTTATTTGAAACATAGGCAAAGAAGAAAACAGTCACGATATAGAACAAATAAATGGAAAGAAAAATGACACAAGACAGGGGTACATAACTTATCAGAAAAAGATTACATATCAAACGAAAAGATAAAAAGACTTACATATTTCAATTGTTTTTAAAGTTTTCTTGGTGCACGAGTTAGAGAAAATCCCAAAGCAATGTACTTGCAAGCGTTTCCAGCGACGTGCAAAGTGACGTAACGACGTTGTTCCCATGGGCGCTCTAGTCAGTGGAAAAACAAACGGGTTCGCAAGTTGAACCAACTCCGAACCAACTTTGAACCAGCACCAGTTCCCAACCAGTTCTTTTTTCGTTGGAAAAGGGGTATCAGATGAGTCCGTCACGGCACCCGTTGACCCGGTGGATATTATCCGAAGCACAATGTCAAGACTTCGGGAGCTTCGGAACGTCCTTCACGGAATAAAGATAATGGCGCTTTATTCAAATGGAAAGATCGCCACAGAACACGCTGCCGGAAAACACAGACTTTCAGAACCCAATTAAGAATGCTACAGTATTCAATTCAAGAATTTAAATAGAGGCAACAGAATTATGAATTGAAGCTAAATTAAGATGGAATAATAATGGAAGAATTTGGAGGAATTTAATTGATCAGCTGGAGCGTGGCATTTCCAGAAACGTAAAACATTTGGGTTAGGGTTAAATAGAAATTCAAACCTATAGAAATTTGTAGTATACCCATATGTGATATAATACAAATGTCTATAGGTTTCAATTTCTATTGAACCCAAACTCAAATGTCTTAGAATATATATATATATATATAATATATATATATATTACATTTGAAATGTTTTCAATTAATTGCATGTTTGTTCATTTATGTTAAAATATTAAAAATAGTAATTTTGGAATAATATTATAATATAACTTATAATAATATTATAATATAACTGTAGACACATCATGTGTCTTTGAAATATGAAGTCAAAATATCAAGAAAGATAGAATTTTCTAGAAAATGATCTAAAATGTTGTTCGAACATTCTACAATTTAACAAGAAGTATAAACAAAAGATACTTAATTCATATAAAGATGAATGTGAAAATTGCTAAAATTATAACAACAATGATGGTCTAGTTGTTATTTTTATTGTTAGATTTGTCATTATTGCATAATTGTGTTTGTTTGTTTAGTGTGAAATAATAATAATAATAATAATAAATCAAATTAAAATAAAAAAGAGAGAAAAAAATGTGTTATAATTAGTAGATTATATCTGGTCTGGGCTATTTGTACTTTTATGTCACGTCGGTGAGGCCATCTAATTTGTAATTTTTTTATTGTAAGAATGGGGTAAGATTTTTTTCCTCATCCTACTCCTGTTCTTCTTCTCATGGAAAGTTCTTTTGTGGTGTTTGTTGGATTTGTTAAATTGCTGTTGTGGCATTTTGTGTTGCATTCCCATGAAAAGAGAATACAAAAATAAATGAAATAAAATGAAAAAAATTGTATTATATACAAATATAATATCAAATATTATACGTATAAATATTAATTTTTTTAAATGCATTGAATTCATTAAATATTTGAACATACGTTAAATTCAAATATTACATATATAAAGTTATATTTAATAAAATAAATACAATAATGCAATAAATATTATTATTTATTTATTTATTTATTTCTATATTATTTCTCAGAATGTTCTAATTATTGGCTCTGCTTTGATTATAACAAAATTCTGACTTTTGCTTAACCCTGAAATAATAATAATAATAATAATAACACATAATAAAGATGATAATAATTATAATAATATTTATATAATACTATTTCAGTGAGAATGTCTAAAAATCCTAAAAATACCACTGAAAACAGTCAAATATGCTGGTTGGGGCTAAATGACACAGAGACGTACCTGTGGTCTCCAGCTTTAGCTCTTCAGAGGTGTTGCAGCTGAAACAGAGAGAAGAAAAGAGTTTTCTTTAAGGATGTGGTGGGAAAAGACGAGGTAAACAACTCAAGGCTAGTAAAAAAAAGCAGTATTGAGTTGGTGTGGGCAAGTAACAACCATCTCAGACTCGTCCTCCCCGGAGAGCTAACTGCAGTCTACACACCCAGCATCATTACAGCCTGCCCAGCACTCAAACACTAGACCGGGCCTTTCTGTTGCTGTTTTGTAGAGGTGCCACAGTGTGTGACATTTAACTGTGAGCAAGCAACACAACACAATACATGCAAACAAAACACACACACACACACACGGGCAAACACGGCCGGTCTGAAGGAGTCGGATGAATGGAGATCCCTGGGGTGGTCACTTCAGTTGCCAAGGGTTGCAATGCGTGCCAGACAGACTCTGCATGAATGGCATGAACAAGTCTATAATGATGACGTCAATGGAAAGTAGGAGTGACAGTGGGAGAGAACGTGTGTGTGTGTGTGTGTGTGTGTGTTACGGATACTCCCTTCTGTCTTGCCTTCAGTCTGTCATTCTGATCCCTAGCTGCCTTTTCACCAAACGACGTAAGTCTAAACGCTAGGAGAGCTGGGGGTGTGGCTACTGTAGCAGAGAGTTGGGGGTGTGGCTACTGTAGAAGGCGGAGAGTTGGAGGCGTGGCTACTGTAGCAAAGAGTTGGGGCGTGGCTACTGTAGCAGGCTGAGAGTTGGAGGCGTGGCTACTGTAGAAGGTGAAGAGTTGGGGGTGTGGCTACTGTAGAAGGTGAAGAGTTGGGGGTGTGGCTACTGTAGAAGGCGGAGAGTTGGAGGTGTGGCTACTGTAGAAGGCGGAGAGTTGGGGGTGTGGCTACTGTAGAAGACGAAGAGTTGGAGGTGTGGCTACTGTAGAAGACGGAGAGTTGGGGGCGTGGCTACTGTAGAAGGTGGAGAGGTGGGGGCGTGGCTAGAGGCTTACTGAAGTTTTCCTCTGGGCGAAACTACTGTAAAGACGTGAGCTCAATTTATCTGCCAGATGAGGACAATCATCAATTTGCAGAAAGAAAGTACCAGATGGTGAGGGAGGAAAAGTCTGAAAGCAGCAGGAGACTGCAGATACTACAATGAACATGAAAATTAAACAACCCAGCAAGTACAGAACACTTTTACACAACGTTGCATTTTGGTTACCGGTCGGAAACACTGCAGTACAAAATGTTCGAGTACCACACCTTCAACAAAACATATATATATATATATATTTATATAGTATATATAAATATATACATACATATACACACACAAACATATATATATAACAAAAAAAAGTTTTAGAAATGTTGTGAAACCTCCTAGGCAGGTTTGAAACAGCCTCATAATGTTAAAGCAACAACAAACCCAAACCTGTAAATCTGTAATCTTTTACTTAAAATCAGAATTTATGAAAGTGACATATGAGAGCAATGCAATAATAATATTTAGGTGTTCGTTACCTACAGGGAAGATGGAATAAAAAAAAAAAACACTTTTGCTACTAATATGAAAATTACTCCGATTTTCATTAATCATTTAGCCTATGAAATTCAATACAGCAAATTAGTTATGAAGAAATATAAACAAATAATACTAGAATATATTTAATTCTTATTTTAGTATCATTGAGATACTATAATAGTTGTTATTATTTAGATTTTTGATTTTATATTTTAACTTTAGTTTAAAGTGTTTTTTTTTAAATATGTTGATATAGTTTTATTTCAGTTTTAGTTACTTTAGTACATAAATCTTTGGCAACTATCTGTAATAAAATAAGATTATGTTTGTTAATATTTTCTTTTCTTATATTTAATTTAATGTTTATTTTAACTAACAAGTTTATTTATTTATTTATTTATTTATTTTTTACAGTTTTTGTTTACTATATTTACCCTGCTCTCTATACCTCTCCTTAGTACTGGCAAACACTTTTTGCAAATGTGATGCCAGGTTAGATGTGGTAATGAGGCTTATTAAATGTCAAAAGTGGGCATGCCAACAACTTCCTGACAATGTTTTGCAACATGAATATATTAATTATTAAATGCAGGCATCTGTCGTATTAAGTTTATAGGGGGAAAATGGGATTGCATCCTTTTTAACACTTACAAAATGTAGTTGTGCTCGACTGTTTCTCTCGCTGTCTCATCATCAGAGCTTGAGATAAAAACTGTTTGAAACGTTCACTCACATCAACAGACGGACCAATCAAGCCACACGACTCAAAGTAGAAGCTGCTGACACAAAAGCCGTCAGCGTTGAAGGATTCCCACCGTCAGCATCACACGTCACGTCATCTGACACTCATCACATGTGAAATATTCATGAGACCCCCATTACCGCGGACACATCGCTCGCTCGCTCTCTCTCTCTGACCCTCTTCACCTGCCTGCTTATTAAAATCTCATAGTATTAACTCTACTGCTCATGGCCAGGCTGAATAATTCAATCAGACTAAAGGAGTCAAATGAATCTTTAATGACATTAAAGCCACAGGGGGAGCAGAACCTGGACTCTGCCAGCGTTTACTCTGGCCTTCACCTGGGGCGAGAGACGGGGCTCGTTCTACTTGACAGCCGTGCCGATTTAGCCACAAACGCTCATGAATTCTCACCGAGATTCATTTTCAGAGAGCTACAGATCATGAAAAAAAAGAATCATAAGGACTAAAGATGGATTTAAACTGAACGAGATCAAATCTATTTAGTTCGAGAGTCCTATTATTGCACTCTTCACATTCGTTTCACACTTGCATTAAATATCTTAATTACTACAACGCCATTTAGGGTCATTAAGAGATTGAACCATGACTCTTTTCTGTACTGTGGAGCCAGAGCCCAGAATAGCTAGCATTAATAGAAGAGATATCCACCAAGGAAATGTGTTTAAAATGGTAGAAACTGTCCCATTTGTATGCGAGTTTAATCAATCTATTGCATTTTTTGAGACTATACTTCTACTTTTCACAGTGAAGACTTTTGAGCTCATGATAGGATCTCAGTCAAGTTGTGTTTCGTTATTCGCTGAGAGGTCAAGAGAGGTTTGAAACACCTTTACAGCGAGATACTGTTTCTAGCAAACATTTAGATGAATATGTGCTGCGCTTTCCTCTTCATAACAAAATCAACAAAATGACAAAAAAAAACAGCGGTTCAGAAAGCATGTAATCACAGTGATGTGACGTTTGCATCAGACACGTCGCGTTTATTTATACAATAGATTGATTTAAAGCAGCAGATTTACAGTATTAAACATGTCTCTTTCAATTAGATATAAATTAGATATAAATACTCGCAATTGCGTATAATAAAAGTCCAATTTTTTCTCACAATTGCGACTTTATAACTCGCAATTCTGACTTTATATCTCGCAATTCTGACTTTATATCTCGCAATTCTGACTTTATATCACACAATTACAACTTTTTATAACACAATTCTGACTTTATAACTCACAATTCTGACTTTATATCTCGCAATTCTGACTTTATATCTCGCAATTCTGACTTTATATCTCACAATTACAACTTTTTATAACACAATTCTGACTTTATAACTCACAATTCTGACTTTATAACTCACAATTCTGACTTTATAACTCGCAATTCTGACTTTATATCTCGCAATTCTGACTTTATATCTCGCAATTCTGACTTTATATCACACAATTACAACTTTTTATAACACAATTCTGACTTTATAACTCACAATTCTGACTTTATATCTCGCAATTCTGACTTTATATCTCGCAATTCTGACTTTATATCTCACAATTACAACTTTTTATAACACAATTCTGACTTTATAAACTCACAATTCTGACTTTATATCTCGCAATTCTGACTTTATATCTCACAATTACAACTTTTATAACACAATTCTGACTTTATAACTCACAATTCTGACTTTATATCTCACAATTCTGACTTTATATCTCGCAATTCTGACTTTATATCTCACAATTCTGACTTTATAACTCGCAATTCTGACTTTATATCTCGCAATTCTGACTTTATATCTCACAATTACAACTTTTTATAACACAATTCTGACTTTATAACTCACAATTCTGACTTTATATCTCGCAATTCTGACTTTATATCTCGCAATTCTGACTTTATATCTCACAATTACAACTTTTTATAACACAATTCTGACTTTATAACTCACAATTCTGACTTTATATCTCACAATTCTGACTTTATAACTCGCAATTCTGACTTTATATCTCGCAATTCTGACTTTATATCTCACAATTCTGACTTTATAACTCACAATTCTGACTTTATATCTCACAATTCTGACTTTATAACTCGCAATTCTGACTTTATATTTCGCAATTCTGACTCTATATCTCACAATTCTGACTTTATAACTCGCAATTCTGACTTTATAACTCACAATTACAACTTTTTATAACACAATTCTGACTTAATAACTCGCAATTACATTTTTATCATAATTCTGACTTTATGATTCACAATTGCGACTTTATATCACGCAATTCTGACTTTATATCTCACAATTCAGAATTCAGAAGATAAAAAGTCAAAATGACCTTTTTTATTTTTTATTAAAAAACTGAACTTCGGACTGAACAGAAAATTAAACCAGAGAAGAGTAAACGTTAAAGTAGGCGGAGCCTTAG